TATCGAGTTATACTTGGGCGTGCGTCACAAGTGGCAAGTTGTATGAAAAAAAACTAATCTCCGAAAATATCTTCCGTTAGGTGATGTTATTAACTGTGGCAGGGCCGAGCACCACGTCCTCGCTGTTGCACGAATGGGCAGTACTGTCCGGGGAAGTACCACGACCTCACGGTAGATCGGCGTGAAGTGGAAATATTATCAGTAGTCAGGGCCCACTATATTAATGCAACTGTATCTCTACTGGTATTGCAGTGAGTCCATGGGCGGTTATAACTTATCATCAGGTAAACCACCAGCTCAAGTCTCAGAATAAAAAAAATAGGTTTAAAACTAACAGGCCTAGCTTTCGAATTCTAAAAAACTACTGTGTGTACTTGGTGTTTCGGCAAAAACAATTTCTGTACAATCTTACAATGATCGCAACTAGGATATTATATTTCTCAATTCCATTAAAATATTTAATGCTAACCGCGACGACGCAAAAGTTTTCACCGATATCGCTGGCCGAAACTTGTCGCCGCACGAAAAACGCAAAAATGTCCGCGCGCGCAATTATAATTTGCGATTAGCGCGCAAATCGTACGCAACACCCGGCTGTGGTGGATTCGGATTGCTCTTTTCGAATTATTAGCATTGTAACGTTTCGATAGAGGTGGGAAAAAAGGGACATAATCTCGGAACGTTCGGCGGTGTCGAATTCGCGATTTGGCAACTTTGCCGCCTGATTTCTCGCTGTTTACCTAGATCACTCTGGTTTTTGCCGCCGTTTCGCCATTTTAACGCATGGCCGCTGACGGCATTGGCGCGGCGGCTTTTTTGCCGCCAAAACTGTAACGGAGGTCGCGCGGAAAACCTCGAGGGCGACCGTTTTCTATGATATAATTGTGATAGACTTCGACTGTTATCACCCACCGAGTTTAAATCGAAATGAAGTCCCATTATTCTTGTATCGATGTTTGCGCTTTCAGTCCGTAGACTGTATAAAATTATATCGGGCACAGAGCCCATGGAACTATGCTATGCATGTGAACATGCGTGTATATCAAAACTAGATATTGTCGGTTATGGGCTGTCCACTGCTATTATGATACATCTACCAGTCCGGGGTTGAAAATGTAACTGGACCTCTTAAGTACTACAACTCTTTTTACTTTTTTTTATGTGTGGTGGACAATAAAGTGTTCATTAACTCATTCATTCATTCATTCATACATTTTTTTTATTTAATTAAAAACATTGCCCTCACTTTAGGATAACATTATCCTGTGTTGCAAGGACGTTTTACATAGATAAATTTCACGTGGACAAACACCCAGACGCGAAACAACTATCTGTGGGTCACACAAATGGTTGTCCCGTGTGGGAATCGAACCCACGACCCCCGACGAAGCCAATACCTTGACGACTGCGCCACGAAGTCACCAAAGTACATGTGTACTCATACAATTTTATGATTATAAAATCAAATATATTCATTATCCAAAGGATGACCCCTGGATACATGAATATATTTGATTTAGCAAGTATTTTATTCGTCGAAATATTACTTAAAAGCTCAGAGAGTCAAAAATCACAGTCTCACTGGGCCTATACATGTCCCACCGCTGGGCAAAGGCCTCCTCTATACATAGGGTATCAGGGCATATTCCACGCGACCCCACTGCGGATAGGCGGACTTCACATATCGTCGAAATGTGCTTTTGTTATTATTAATCAAAACTCAATCCGATTAATTAATCACTATTAGCCATCCGCGACGCGTTATAACCGTTTTTTGAGTCTCATTGAATAATTAACAGCATTCGTTATGTTGATTTTGAACAGTTATTTGTTTTTAAACGGCGCGGCGTGGCGTGAAATTCGATCGCGTCAACATTTCCTATGATTTGTTTTACATTCATTATGAATGGATTCATTTGAATCGATTATGAATTAATGAATGTGTTTTTAGTTAATACTTGCAAGTTTTCATCACTATACGTATTAAGAAAGAAAGGAATGCTATTACGAGTAGCCATCCTTCTATAAGATAACATTGTTTTCAAATATCGATTTGCCGTTTACTGAGTTATTTTACCGCAAACGACTATATCTTCAAAATGGACATAAGGATTATCTTAGCGAATATTTTCAACGTCTACAAGAAGCTGGTTCTTTTTCTGACACATATTGCCGTTTGTTAATTGTGAAAAATGTCTCGACGTTAAATTAAAAAACGATATACCTTAATGTTACCAACACGAGTACAGTTCGAAGCGACGAAAACATGAATTACATATATTTAACTATGTAAAGTAATATGCAATTACATATTTGCTATTATTTCATAATCTTTAGAAAACATAGGACAATAGACGAATTTGGAAAACTCCTCACAGGTAGAGTAAGTAAATTAATTAACAACACGCAAATATTGTTGTTAAATTTACATTCCCCAATAGACTCCTTCTTGCACATTTAATGCAACGCTTACACTGAACGCTAGGCGTCAGCGATAATAATTCAAGAGCGCTTTAGCTATGCAGCGATAAAAAACAGATAGTCGAACCAGTGGCGCGTGAAATTTAAACTTAATAATATGCTAATATAAGATATAAGCCGCAAGACGTCTGCGATGCGTCTGCCGGTGTGAAAGAACATAGATATGGGCTCGTTGTTTAAACGTAACGTTAGTTATCGACGGGTTCTAGACTGAAAAATTAGGTACGATACGTCTTGTATGCTCAAACAGCGTTTTTTTCCGTAAAAATGATACAGTTGAGCAAGCAGAAAACACTCGCATCGACAATATGAAAGTATAGAATCAGCGTTGAAAAATTCACAGTATAGATTTGTATATTTTATAATTTAGTTTGTGCTCTTTTTCATGTCGGAAGTTTTTTTGTCGCTACCAACGAACGTGTTTGTTAATAAACCATACTATTAGCTAAGCAAGAACTCTATAATAGTTGCTGCGTTTGTTTAAATAGTGTGATCACACAAGGATAACATAAAATTATACATGTTATGTAACAAACCGTGAAACACACAAAACAACTCGTTAAGAACCATCTTGAACACGTTAGCTTTCGAATAATAAAAAACGCAGCGTAATCGGTCCATTGGCTTAGAAGCCACAGACAGACACAGATACACAGACGGACACGCCATTACAGGCTTGAGGGAAAATCTTTTGTCATTCTTAATTCGCCAAAAGCGGATGGTACCACATGTTGCCACGGATGGCATAATACCGTGCCCAGCGACCTCCGTCCACTTGACACGCGAGTGACATTCATTAAGCGGGGCTCTCAAAGTTTCTAATGTCGTATAAACCGTTGCATATTTACTTATTCTCTAAAACCTGTGTACTAAACTGACTGACATTGAACGTGACAGTTTCCAATGCACCTAGGACCCCTAGGGGCAATGAAATTTTGAAGGAGAGGTGGATTTAAAACCCTAAGCTTACTAAAATGCTGCTGAGTACGGAATAAATTGAACTTTTTCGACTGCCTACAAAATAATGTTTAGCGATGTGGCGTTCTTCGTTTGGGGATGCCGTTATAAATAATATTTTAGTAGGATCTGAAACTTTAAATCTTTTCTTCACGTAAGGTGTAATATTCTGTCTTCAAATGTTGCTATCTCACCTTAAAGCCACGCGATATTTTAGACAAATAGGTATATCAGTTTTAAATACCTTACAGAGTTATAGAGTTAAGTACAACGTGTTACATGAGTTTTTCCTTAAATATTTGAAACCGTTCGACTATCCTCGGTCCCACGAATTTAGTCGGAAACATGTGTTGCAGTCAATTAAAGCATAAAATTAGAATCTGGTATGCCGCCGATACCTTATTCCGACTAAGGATGGCAACACACGTTCATGGGTATCTCGCCTTGCATGTTCGTTGCGGCTTTTTGCCTATTGCTAGAAGAAAAAAAGCACTAGAAATGGAAAAAACTGAGCACCCGGGCCAGCAAGCGTCAGATTTCTGAGATATATTAGGTACGAGTAAGGATTGTGTAGCAATAAAAACGGAGTATCGCACAATTTTATGGGTAGCGGTCTGTCTAATTGGTATGAAAAAATTTCGCAATATATACCATCGAATTTCTTAAGCGGTGTCTGTACTCAAAGCGATCTAATTAATTTCCATCTTATATTTGATTGAAAGCACGTGACGACGTTGTCACGTGCTTTCAGCAAAGTTTTTATCATGCTCTGTGGATATGAATACTAATTAATGAGTAAATATAATGACACCAGTATTTTCAGATTCAAGCATAACAAGATTAATCTCAATTATTTACCTGCCCATTATCTACTTATGGAAGTCACGTTTATAGGTCTGGGGAATTGTTCTCCTTAAAATTTGAAGCGTTAAGGGAAATAAACTCCAGCAACAATCTTTAATATGAATCGCACCTCTGTACAAATTTCACATCAAAGGTACTTGGAAAAATGTCTTAAATATGTTTCCAATGTGTTGCCCTTGTCATATGAGAAAAAAAATCATCGTTATGTTACATTTCTTTTTAAATTAACTCATAACCAACGCCCTCTAAGACACAAACACGAGAACGACAAAATATTTTACACCTCCCCAGCAGTGCCGGCCGCCGCAAATTAATCTCGACCTCGCAAAAACTACCTTATTAGAGAAAATCCCCGAACCCCGAGGACATTCCCTAATGTGCTTAGATAAACGTTCCTTCTCTCCCGATTAATAATTTTAGACCAACAAAAACCCGTGACGCGCCCTTCGGCTTTTTGCCGCCAATTTCGTTTTTGCTGCGCAGAAAATGCGGCATGCAGATTTTACGCAAATTACTATGAGCGTAGCATGTTCCCTCTTTATTTCTATACAGTGCTAAATCTAGCAGATGAGAACGTATAAATTTTTGAAGTTATAGCAATATTCAATTTACCTGGATCGATCTTACAACTTCCAATCCTTTTAATTGCTACTCCTAAGTCTCCTTTATTTCAATTCATTTCTCAACGAAAATCACTAATGCGTAGCACTGAACCTCACCACATTTGGGTATTGTTATTTTGTAGAAGCCAAATTTCATACCTTAAATACTTGAATTATCTGTCATTGGCGATAAATAAGCCCGGAAATTTCTTCTGAGAAAAATTTTCCGTTTCAGGTTCATTACAATATAGATAATAATTATTATTACATGAAGTGAGTTCTTTACTTATTTATTGGAGATAACCCTGCAAGATAACATATACATTGTTCTACCTAGAAATAGCCGTCCTATTTATTTATATTTTTTATATTTATTTATATTTTCAACATTCATATATATTTTTATAATCTGACTGGACAAACGCATCTTGAGCAGGGTTTGTAATTTTTCCTTGCTGCTTTTCAGGGGTCGCTATAACATGTCACGGAGGCCGGATTCCGCTTAATAACCGCATTAATCCTTTGACCCCTTCTGTCAGATCCGGAACAACCTTCAGGCCAAGTTGTCTAATCTTGTCAGTGTGGGGTACGTTTCCAAACATATGGGCTTTCTTCAAAATTAGGTCCAATTTTCAAAGATTTTGTTGTAATTCAAACGGAGTTTCCATTACAACACGTTTTCATCCACAAAATTGAATGCTAGGCTCTAAAATTGATATTCAGATAAACACCAGGCGATCGAAGAATTGTTTTGGCTGCAGTTAATCCTTTTTATTTATAACTATTCAGTTTTTATTTTTAACATTACTTTCGAATTTATGCCTCTACCAGTAATTCCGATAAATCAACAATAGATACCCTGGTACTGGACATTCCCTGTTAATTGTTACCTAATTGGCGAACGGGTGTCAAAATTGAGCAAAATTGACCAGGTACCGGGCGGTGATAGACGTGGCAGGAAAAAGACCATATCGGACCCATCGGACTTTCGGGTCCCGAAAAGTGCGAGCGACCCATCGGAGTGGGGTATGCTGGCCTCCTCCGACCACGAGGTTGGTGGGAATAAGGAACGAGATGTTAAGACAATCGTGGGTTACCAATCATATGGATAACAATATCTAATTGAACTGATTACATACAAAATTAGTCCTAAAAGCAATCCAATAAATACAAACAACTGAGTACCATCAACCTTCATGATTGTCTAAACTGTCGTTACATTCGTCAATTTGTTCGTTTGTTTTTTGTTGCGTACATCTATTTCGTCTTTGTCTAACCGAATGCTTTTTACTAATTTCTTTTCGTTATCACTCTTAATTAATTTGTGTTGTGCATCCGTAATTTGTTAACGCTGTCCCTTTAGTTTTCTTTTTATATTTTTAAGGATTTTCCTCCTCGATTTTATTGTCCGCTTACACTCTAAATATTTTGTGTGCTTGAATGGACCGTGCTCGGAATCGTCTGTGATCGCGTGAAGGCATTTCTCGTGTACCACAAAGTGTCAGTCGGTCGCTCCAATTTAACACGGGCTCCCTTTCGGGGAATCGCTCCTTCACGATGTCCTATTAAAAGTAAGCCACCTCGAATTTCCAGCCTCATGCCATTAAGTAGTGCTCCAAACTTTAATTATGTTCAGGCTGTGACCAATCGCGATCGTGTCTCGCATTTTCTGTCAAGTCACTCGGCGTGCTACCGAATCTTATAGCTCTTGCAAACATATACACTATAAATCCAAAGTAGTTAACTTTGAATTGTGATCGCTATCTGCATCCGATCAAAGTTGAAAATCGCCCGGGGGCGCCATCTCGTCCGCTACACAGCTCTGTTTCCTGGTAAGCAGAATTCGACGTGCCACATCATCCGGCCGTGATGTGATTTGAACTCTATTTGTTGTGCAGTTAAGAATAATGTCGCGATTAGGGCGTTGAAATTGGTTTGTGACGTTGAAATTAAGTCATGTTCGGTTGGCCATAGAATCCGGTGCCCCGAGGAACGTGGCCCGAAAGTTTCATTGTTGGATGTTGAATAAAACCTATCGGCGGGATGACGTGCGGGTTTCTAGTCGAGAAACTAATTTGGAATATCACAATGAATATCACTGAAACAGCCTTTTGAACGTGCGGTGAGCGCCGTCGTTAATAGACGAGGTTTGTTGGCACGCGTAGCTTATACGTAGACAGATTCGGCTGCGGCGGTTGCGGTCACGCGACAATGATCCCTCCGTCCTCGCGAAATACGCGTTGGAATCGGTTGAACGTGTTTACGGATGTCGGATGCATTATAAATCACCTTGGCATTGGCTCACCACTTAATTCGGTAGCATACACTTAGGCCGCGATTATTTTGGTCGCGGATGATGTTAAGGAAGTGATGCTAATTAAGGCTCTTTGCGGACGCCGCGGAGATATCCTGTCTTTATGCCTGTTATACAAATGTATACGAAAAAAATCTTTTTACCCGAAACGAGTACAATTTGCTACAGTTGCCCTCGGATATTGTCCAAGGGCGAGCTCCATTCGAGAGACTGATGATGAATTTTAATCGTTCATGATAGCGGAACACGGTTTAGTCACTTCTTATAATTGAGTGAGCACACTTCATTAAAAACTCATTAATGGTCTCCAAAGCCGTCGGATGTTTATTCTTATTGTCGTGTTTTCTTTTTGTTTGAATCCATTGGCTGTGCATGGTTTTCTTTCCTTAAATCGTTTTTGTTCCGTCCATGACTCTTGGTTTGACCATCAACACTTGAAGCCTCAAATCAAAATCGTTTTATATTTTCCGTGATCAAATCTTCGAACACAAACAAGTCCTGACGATCGTGAGCGATGGAGAGAGACAAAAGACTAAACTCGGCCCTTTCTTAATTCCAGGTGTTCGGCTCCAAGGCGGACCTACAGCTGCACACGCAGATCCACCTGCGCGAGGCGAAGCCCTACCGCTGCACCCAGTGCCCGAAGGCGTTCGCCAACTCCTCGTACCTGGCGCAGCACTCGCGCATCCACCTCGGCATAAAGCCGTACCGCTGCGAGATCTGCCAGCGCAAGTTCACGCAGCTGTCGCACCTGCAGCAGCACATCCGCACGCACACAGGTGACAAGCCCTACAGGTGCACGCAGATCGGCTGCACGAAGGCGTTCTCGCAGCTCTCCAACCTGCAGAGCCACAGCCGCTGCCACCAGACGGACAAGCCGTTCAAGTGCAACTCCTGCTACAAGTGCTTCACGCACGAGAAGGACCTGCTCGAGCACATACCGAAGCACAAGGAGTCGAAGCACCTAAAGACGCACATCTGCCAGTACTGCGGCAAGAGCTACACGCAGGAGACGTACTTGAGCAAGCACATGAACAAGCACGCAGAGAGGGCGGACAAGCGGCCGCCGATCTCCGCGCTGGGCTTGAGCGGGCTCAACCGCTCGCTGGCGGCCGCCGCGCCGACCGCGGCCCCTTTCGGGGAGCACCCCTACTGGCCCAAGGTGAGCCCCGACTCCGCCGCGCACATGTCCGACGAGGGCTACCACCAGCACCGAGACGGCGAGGACCACCACGAGCAGTTGCAGCAGCAGCGGGCCCTGTTCCAGCACGAGGCGCAGGACGACCGCATCCAGCCGCCCGTCTCCTCGGCCAGCTCGGCCTTCACGCCGATCAACTCGATGGCGCCACCTGAACGGGCTCTCGCACCACGGCGCCCTCCCCACGCGGCCGTACCTCTACGACCCGCTCCACTTCCAGCAGGGCAAGCAGCAGCCCAACTCCTTCCCCAACCAGCTGATATCGCTGCACCAGATCAGGAACTACGCCCACCAGCCGTCGGCGCTGCTGCCGGCGGACCACATCCTGCCCCACTCCCTCGCGCACAAAGACAAACAATAAGCAACGGCCGACTTGCCCTTCGTTCCGTAGGCGCTCCCTACGTTTTAGCACTTACTACGGTATTACTAGTATTAAAAAAGCATTATATGAAATACTTATCTAAAAAAAATTTTTTTGAATCTCGCTCTCGAACACCGGTATTATGAATGTATGAAATACAGAAACTCGTTTTGTCTGCTAGTTTGAGACGAATTCACGTTTTTAGACTTAAATCGATATTGTGTATGAATACTCTGAATTTTAGATGAACAATTATTATCGGGACTAAAATGTGATTTCGATTGTTAGTGACGTTTTTATGTCATTCAATGAATAGTTCTTCGTTAGCATAATAATATTGTATAATGTACTACTCACAAGATAAATCTTCGAAAAGAACTAATCATTAAATGGTGTAATTATTTAAAACCTTTTGACAAGTTAAAAAAAAACTGTTAAGCATAATTGTATTAGCTTTACGAAGCATAATGATTTTATATATGTCTGGTTATTGATTGTGATTTTTTTTCCCCGATGTTTATATGATTATATTTTTATAGCAGCACCCTATTTTATCGTGTCCGTGTCCAGCGTAGGTTCAATTATTAAAAAAAAAGTATATATATCGAGAGTTCCTGTCTTTTATCGGAAATTCCATTCGACATCACTACTAGTATCTATCCTTCTGTTGCATTTCTTACACGATGAGTGTCTATTGCTAATCGCAGATCTCTTCTCATCACATTTTGCACTCAGTTCCTACTTAGATCGAGTAATTCTTTTTTATTTAGCTGTATAACCTAACTCACTCGATACGTCTTCGTTCCAAACACCGTTAGAAAATGTAGTCCCCCTTCAGAATGGACGCCGCCTGTCTCGTCACTTGCGTCAACTGTTCCGGGATTTTGGAGGTCGAATACATTTTTTACTTTTAGCATTTTGTATGATAGGATTTGTATGAAACATCGATGAGTGGCCAAAGCGTTCATCTCGTAAACTGAAGGCGCGCGTTTGTACATAATGTGTATATACGATGAGGTAATTACATCGGTTGCGATGAAATTTCGAAGAGAACTTATTGACAATTTTATTTTTATTATTATTATTTTCAATTTAAGTATTCGAAGCTTATGCTCAATTTTATTAGACGTAAGAATCTCGTCTTCTCATAACTTCCGTCTATTGAGTCCCCTCGGGTTATTCATCAGCGAGGAGACCCTAATTCTCAATGATTTCATTGAACGGTAAACGATTAACATGTACTTAACGAGTGTTTCTGTTGACGGTCGAATTTAACTAGGTTTTCGAGGTATACGAATTTCTTTTTGTCTGTTTCGTTGTTGTTTGTATTTCGGTATGTTTCGCGGGAGTTGTGATAAGCCGGGTACGCAAGCCGGGGTGGATGCCCCCCCGCTGGATGATATCGCCTCATTCATGTATTGTTTAGGTTATAGAGAAATTGTTAGGTTGTGGTTTATGTGATTCGGACGGGGATCCCGTGTTTGGAGGCCGCGTCGGCCGTCCAGAAGTTTACCGTGCGCTTGTCCGCCACAAAATTGTTACGGTTTGGCGCCGACGCCTCGGCAGCGATGGGATGACGGATCAATTGGGCCCGAAACGCGCTAACGAAGTCTCTTATTCATCCATACTTGATATTATAAATGCGAAAGTAACTCTGTCTCGCTTTCACACCAAAATTACTGAACCGATTTAAGTGAAATTTTGGCTCACAGTCTAGATACCGAGAAAGGACATAGGCTATTTATATTTTAATTGGAAAAAAGTATTGTAAAATGTTGAAAATATCTTTCTTTAAAAAATGTATATTTTTTTAAAGTAAGATATTTATTTTAGCCGCGGGCGGAAAGCTAGTATAGTATATATTCATTTATAGCTGGACAACTGGGAAATTTGAATTGGTAGACTAACCTCAGGTTACGGAAAAAGTACCCAAAATATGGTGAACAAAATAATTTTACGTTTTTTTGCGATATCATCGTTTGAAAACCATTTCTCACATATGTACTCGGAGTAATGTACTCAATGATTTGCAATAATGAGGATTTCCTATCATTCCGTCAGGTTTATTATTTCAAGTCCTAAAGATCAGAGCCTTAGAGAAAAAGTATGCTTGTTATATAAATATGTAATGCAACGTAATATCAAAGGGTATTTTTTAAATGACATTATTAACGTTGATACCTATGGTGCGTACATTTGGTCAGTCCTGATTTCTTTCGAGGTCCAAATTGATCCCTTATTCCTGTTGCGTGGGCAGCGAGAGCGTCTCAGCCTCAGCTCATATATTGTTTATACTTCTCTGGATTCACCGCAATAAAGCTCTTCCCATTTGTTATGATTAAGCGAGGGAGATCAACTTATTAATATTGTACAGCGTTTGATCGTCACAAGCAGAGATTTTCTATCAGGATTCTCTTTACGGTTTTAAGGGAAACAAAATCGCCAATATCTCTCTATTGTAAGTAGAAATGTGATATTGTAATTTGATTTTTTTTTAAGTTAAGTGTAAACTTATTGCTACGTTTATTAAATACATATTTTTGTAAGTAATTTTTCGTTCTTAATATAGTTTCGGCTTTATAGAGCGGTTCTCGTTTAAGATTTACATCAAGATCAAAGTGAACGGAGTTTTTTTTTTGTTACTTAAAATCAATTAAAAATTAATTACAAATATGCCAAGAACTACAATCTCTTTTATTTATATCCCCCGATTAAACACCCAGTACCACCATGAAGGAACACAAACACTATGCGAGAGCAACGATTTACATGACAACTCACGGTGCCGAATGGGCAGACTCGTCAGGAATGTTAAATATCGCAGATGCTCTGCAAGAAGCAAGTAATTGTACTTTGCGTTTCGTCAGATTTGTGAGGTAACTTCAAGCTGACACTATCGGCGCTTTAAAATATGCCTGCAAATTTTCTTGTCTTGTTCAACCATTAGATATATTCATACCAGAAATTAGAGCAACACAACACAGGTTATGTAATAGACTACTATATATGTAGAGGTACCTATATAGAAACAAAGCAATATATAATTCGAAAATCTAACATATAAAATTCTTGTGTCACGGTGTTTGTAATTGAACTCTTCCGAAATGGCTCGACCGATTTTCGTGAAATTTTGTGAGCATATCCATCCATGCCAGGGTGGAGAATCGGCAACATCTATTTTTCATACCCCTAAATGTTATATTTTTTTTTTGTCTATTTTTTTATGATACAGCATACAAAAATGCATACAACTCTAAATTTCACCCCTCTAAGCAGACGTAGTCACGGGCAGCAGCTAGTATGACTATAAAGGTAAAAGCCTAAGAAGATTTGCGATTTGGAGCTCATTTAACGCTCATTTGAAAATAGAACATCATTTATTCAATAACTAACATAATCTATAGTACAACTCATTACCTATATAACGAAAAATCAGCCAACCACAGACAATATAATGCGAACCTATAAACACTTTTTAAAGACATTACAATTAGACAAAACTATGTAGCACCAAACGGCCAGAGCCATCTATCGGTGACTTTATAAACTACGATGATAATCAAACAGTACCTACAGTAATTTATTTTAAAGTAGTTTTTTTATTAACTTGGAAAGTAATTAACATAGTAAAACAAATGTTAACTACACTAATACTCTGCCAAAGTTTGTTTTTGTAAGTAAAAATAATAATCGCAGAAAGGCCGTAACAAAACTGACGATGCGACAACAGTTCAATTCAGCTTTTGGTTTGGTTTTATTCTGGCGTATTGACGCCTGAATAATATAAATGCCAGTATTGACTGGTGGGTCCACGGACCTGCTGCAGACAGGTTCTATTGTTGAGTACCATGGCGCTGACCGAAGCTAAAGTGGAAGCATTTTTTGCGTTTCGTCCGGTGAGTGAGGTAAGCGAGACCCATTCTAAGGTTCGTAAGGCAAACCCACAGGTGTAGTGGATGTCTATGTGTGGTAATCAGTTAAAATTTGGTGATGAACACCCACACTTTGCCACACTCTCTCGTAAACAAAGCGCTGAATTGACTCATTCATTTAGTTTTTAAATAATGTAACTGTTCTACAATTATGTGAAACAATATTACTAAGAAGTGAATAAAGAGGTACTAGGAAGTGATAATTTTATATCATATGTCAATGACTAATATCTAATATAAGCATGGGTCTTAAAAATAATAAAAACAAGCAAAAGAAATAATTGACTACTCCTTACTTAACGCTGTATTACTACTACTTACGCTTCTTAACGCTGTATTATACATTAGAATCTATTTTAGTTATTATATATATAAGTCAGAGTATAAATTCTGAGATCTATAATAATTATAACAATGTTGTAAAAAGGGAGTCGAAAAAAAAAAGCCACTCTATGATCTTTTATCTTTATTTAGTTAACAGTCGCAAAATATAATAAATAAGTACTTAATATAGGTATTTACAATAATACGGGGTCGTTCTACCTACGCAGGTAAAAACCATACAAAACCATACAAATTAGAAAAGCGAATTTAAGTTCGATGAAACCTTAATAGAATAATAAAGACGCACTCCATAAAGAGATGCTGCCTACGAGTGACAGATTTTTTGCAATGAGTTAAATGTCCGATGATGATATAAAAAATCTGTCAAACTTCGAGCGTGAAAAAACTAACCGAATATGTTTCCGATCCCTTCAAAGACAAATTTTATATCAGAAAAATTGTTGAAGGTGCATTCATTTCGAATTGAAGCAAATTCGATTATTTCCAAATCTATGGACTGCGTCTTTCTGACTTAAAAATAACTGGGAATAATCATTTTTCAGTTGATATTTTATATGTATTGTCATTTAGTCGCCCTAAATACTAAACGAGAATCATATAAATCACTAGATAGATTTGATTAGTGCTTAAAATAGCAAAAAAAATGTTAGTTATACTTGACGTCAAAACACAAGATAGGAACGACAGAAGACACAAAAACAAAGAGTAAGAAAATGTAGATATAGGCGAGAAGCACAAATTGCAAAACGTAAATCAGAAAACGTTTAGATCGGCATCGAGAGATCAATTCCGAAGAATATATTCCTAATCACACTCATGTAATACAATAAAATGATTCGTATAAAAGTTTGTTATTGATATTGCACTTTGGCCTTCGATTCCATTGCAATCTTAAAGTAATAGTTTAACACTACCTTGATTCTAATTTAATTAAAAAACTAGTCACTTTAGGAATTGAGGACCATTTTTATTTTAAACAATTCATACCATGGACGAAGTTGTTTCTTCGCATATTGATTATGCACCAATTCTTAGCACAGACTCCAAAAATGACTAGAAACACACAATGTTATTGAGGAAAATCCAAAATAATTTGTTAAGTATCTCCCACACTTCGATAGTTCTGGAGTACTCGAGCCGATGTTAAATTAGACAGTATGCTTACAGAGTAACCACGCGTGCACAATCATGTAAATAGATAAGTCGACAGCATGCTATTTTCCTTAATATCGATAAAGAAATATATTTAAAGTAATAAAAAAAACAATACTCGATACGGACAATGAAAACGTGACTAAATTAGAAATGTAGAAATCGAAATATGTGAACGTTTAGAGAGCGTCCCCTTCGGAACTTGGGAAGGTTAGACCTCGACCTTGTAGGGGGATCCGGGGATGTGCTCGTCGCCCCACTTGACGATGACGATGTACTCTCCCCTGTCTCTCACCACGTACCAGCACTCGTAGTTGTTCTTGCCTTTGTGCTTCAGCTGCACCTCGTCGCACGGACCTTTGGGGCCGTAGATGCCCACATAGAGAATGTTATTACCTGAAAAGAAATCAATGTGATCGATTAGAAAAAATGACAAATCTCCTATTGTTTAACTGCTTATTTGTTAATTGAGGCGATCGGACAGGAGTATGCAATTGCTAAATAAATCTACAAAAGATGGTGTATTAAATTTGAGTGGGTGTGACAGGAAGACTTCTTCACGTCTTCGTATACAGTATTGTAAGCTTTTCAAGTATGTAAATTTTGTAAATAACAAACAAATAAATTGAAACAGCTTACGGTTAGAAACGAAGCCATACTGAAACGTCAAAGTCCATCATTTTGGTGACAGAGTTTTTATTTATGTGAAAGTTGCCAAACGAGCAGACGGTTCACCTGATGTTGAATGAATGGACACCTGCTACAACCGAGGGTTGTAGATGCGTTGACAACCTTTTGCAAATTGGGCTCCGGACACCTCACTTACAGACGAAACGCTAAAGTATTATACGTCCACACCGGTCTTCTGTGAGGTCGTGGTACTTACCCGGACGAGCCTGCCCTTTAGTGCAACAGCCGAGGCTGCTGCGTGGCCCTACCACTGAAGAATGCCAAAGAAACAGACATACTTTTCACACCAAAGCTCAAATGCCGTCCTATTCTGAAGCATTTGATAAATAGAAATAAATAAATATATTTTAAAATAAGTAGATAGTTTGAAGTAGATACACGAGCCTTCAAGCATTATGAGACCCAATTATAGAAATAGAAACGTAGCAGACAACACACCTGCATCGCCGGCGTGCACTGTGAACTGGTTGTGCTTGTTGAGGTACGCCTTCTTCAGACCCATACCCTTGCTGGTCACCTTCGACGCGTCGGACTTGAAGTGGGGCAGGATCGGACCCTGCTTCTGGGCCGACTTGGAGACCTTCTGCACCGTCTCCACGGTCACCGAGGAGGTCTCTTGAGCGCCGATTTCAGCCAAGTTCTCGCCTGAGTGTGTGAAAGCGACATGTTACATAATATGGAAAATTATAAAGTAAATTTATGGCACGCCACAGTTTTACACTAAAAAGAAAGCATGAAGTGATCTTTGAGTACATATGCGATGTGTAAATAATCTAAGAAAGTTATATTTTTCCGTTCCTAACAGACGAAATACAATTGATAACAAATGTCTTGATCCTATTCTGCGGTGTCCGATTTAACGTTCGGCTTTTGCTGACAGGATGAATTTGTTTCATAATTAATTCGTGATTTTATTGAGCCTGATTAAAACATCCAAATCGAATCTAAGAAACATAGGGAAATTCGTTGGAACAGCAAGTTGTTTTATTCTTTCCAAACAAAAGTTTCGAATATACAAAAATTCTACGTCGATCTCAATACCTTTACATATTTAAAGGCGATACTATCCATACTAATATTATAAATGCGAAAGTCTGTCAAAATCTATCACGCCAAAAATACTGAACCGATTTAAATGAAATTTCGAACAGGGATAGTCTAGAGCCTGAGAAAGGACATAGGCTATTTTTTAATTGGAAAAAAGTGTTGAACATATTTTTCTTTAGAAAATATATATAGTTTTTAAAGAAAGATATTTATTTAAAGGCATCAGCGCGAGCGAAGCCGCGGGCTAAAAGCTATTAAGTAATAAAAAGTTTGTCAAAAATTATGTATCATAGTTTATTAGACCCAAACGAGCCTTTAGGTTGGAAACATTTCGATGCTAAATACTCACATACGTGCCGATGTATCGTTGGCAGGAAGCTAAAAAGTACGATAAAAACGATGAAATTAGTACAATTTTTGTTACACGTACCAGTTGCTTCAATCTTGAACGGTGAGCCGACGATGTGGTGGCCGTTGTACTTGATGCTCAAGTAATAGAAGCCGGGGGAGAGGGGAGTGTAGCGAACCTTGGGGAAATGAGAAATTCGAACTTAACAGTGCTAACAAGTCACTCCATCGACAACAAAAAACTTCTTTAACATCTCAATAAAAATGATATCTTGGCATTGCTTACAGTCTTTAAGGAGTCAATCCATGTCGTTTTTGCAAGTACGGCTTAAGTAATTTAATTTAATGGATTGAAACAAATATTCGTTTAAATAGAAAACATTTTGTGTCACTAAAATACGAATTAGTAAACTCAGAACTCTGAAGTAACCCGTAAATTAAAGCACCAGAACACTGGGCCAGTGAAGTATTCAAATTCACAAGAATGGTACAAATACATCATGGTTATGATTGATAGGGTTGTTCTTTTAAGATGTGTTTACTGTAATGGTGTACCATACCACGCTGAAACAATATATATTAATATTTTATTTTTAGTCATACACATAAATAAATAAATATTTTTAGGACACATTTTTACACAACGTTCTCTAGTCTCAAACTAAGCAACGCTTGTACTATGGGTACTACATAACTGATTTACATACTTAAACATACTTTTCTTTTGTAAATAAATACATATTATACATATATATAAACACCCAGACACTAGAAAAACACTATCATTCATCACACAACATTTTTCCAGTAGTAGAGATCGAACCCACAACCTCTGGTACCCAGAGTACACTACCCACTACGCCATTCGGGTCGTCGTACTACATAGATACTGTTAAATTGTTTTTATATACATGAATAAAGTTAGGTTCAAAAATAGATGCTGTTCCACCTTGTAGCCTTCCTCGACGTCCGTGCAGTCCATGGCGACTCGCGACGGACCGTCCATGGTCACCGCCAGGATACCGGCACCGGCGTTGCATGTGTCGATGATCAGGTCAGTCTTCGCACCTTTAGTTGACGAGAGAAGCCGCGTAAGTATCGGGAAAAGTTACACGAGATGGAATTCTAAGGACATCAAAAAATCTTAAAAACGAAGAGTAAACAAACAAACAAACAAAAACTATTTTATCGTACAGATTAGATGAAGTTCGTACTGGTGAGTGCTGATACAACATTCCACTTTTCATAATTCGTTATACAAAGGTGTAAAGGCTTAAGGCACCTTTAAATACTCATCAGACCTCAAGCCCTAGCAACAATTCTATCTGTAAAAATGTTTACTGTCTATTTCGAAAGCACAAATCCTTTTAAAGACTCTTAACTCTGATCCACAAAAATAATGAAAACAATGTGCTTATTTTATACTTAAATACTCTTATATGATCTTTTATAATTTAAAAAAAAAAGATAATAAACCGCAGAGTTTCTTGCCGGTCCTTCTCTCGACTAATATACCTAAACCTAGTTCAGTGAACCGGGTAGTTTTTTGACGTTCAATAAGAGTTTAAAATAATGAATAATTGGATAAAGAAATTTGGCCTTTGAATTTGACTTTGAAAATCTGTGCCATTAAATTTTTAAAGTGAGCTGCTGACGGAATGGCCGTGAACGACCCAAATGACTCACCGGTCTTCACCGCTCCCAATCCCGGTCCGTGAGCGTGCACTGCCGCAGGGTCCGCGTCGTCCTTCCCGACCTGAGGAGTTTCAATCCTTACAACATGGACATGTCTAGACTTGTTTTCTTTTATGTGAGAAGGTGACAAGCGTGCTGACGGTTCACCTGATGTTAAGTGATAACTGCCGCCCATGGACATTTGCAACATCCGTAGGCTTGCAGACGCGTTGCCACCTTTTAATAAAGTGGGCCCCGGTTACCTCACTCACCAGACTCAACGCAGAAGTATGACACTTCCACTTAACGCAAATCCCCTTAGCGCTGTTTAGCCTTTAAGGCGAGTTGTGTCGTATCTTTGCTATGAAATATCGTCCTCCCCCACAGACTAACACGAAGCAAGATCCTGAGCCACCTGCATCACCGCTGACTTCCCGCACACTTGCACAGTTCGACTCCATCTAGTGTCCCCGGGCTATGTGTCCCCGGGCTATGTGTCCCCAACAAACCCCACATACGTTAAACGGTGGACTTTAACAGGCTGACATGATGATGATGAAAAAGATTTCAGACAAGAGTCTCGATAAAACAAATAGAGATACATTGTTTAGAATGAAACTATTTTTACGGATTTTGGCCTTTGATATATTAAATGGCGCAAGTAATAATAATTTATATTCTTTTTATGTTCTCTCGCTAAAATCAGTGCGAAGTAAATATTTTTAAACCTGTATTAAATCGCTCGTCTTATTCGACTGACCTATTAGAGAAATTTATAGGTAAAAGGTAAAATAGTAACTTAACTAAACTATATTCAATATAATAACTTAACTATATTCCTCAATACAGGTCGTATAAGACGGGCTTACATATTATGTAAGTATATAAGCGTAATTATAAATTAAAATTGAGAAAATTTATACGTTCGGGAACTAATTAATGCTTATTATGAAGGCCATTATGATTTCTTCTAAGGTATATTAATATAATAATGGTTTGAAATGTTTTCCATAGTATTTTGTAACGAACAATTACAAAATAATATAAAGTGATGTACCTTAAAAAAATAACTAAAATATATATTGATCTTTGCATCTATTGCGGACAATTCATAGTGCAATGTTTGAAAGGAACGGTAATAATAGGGGTACCACAATTATCTAAGGATAATGAGGATTATGCAATTGTTGAAGATAAAAAAATTGTATAAAACAAATATGGAAAATAGAATACTTTAAAAAGTCGTTATTCGGGGCTATTCTATTCTTTAGTCTTTTATCCTAGTCCAGTAAATTTTTTTTGTACCGTACCTTAATCCTGAGCGGTGACGCCGGGATGTGGACTCCGTTGAACTTGACGTTGATGTTGTGGACTCCGTTCTCGCGTGGCATGAACCTGATGGAGTACTGGTCACCGTCGATGTTCTGGATGAAGCAGTCGTCCGTCTTGCCCGACGGCGAGATCACCTGCAAAGCCCCTGAATGTTACCACCACTGCATGCATATACCTAGCTTCAGTTGCTTGCGATTGCTCAGTTTTCTTTACTATAAATAACGTATGAATTCGCGCAATATGAAATCATCGTCATCAATATGATGACTCCGCGGCGCAGTTGCCAAGGTATTAGCTCCGAAGTCGCGGGTTGTGAGTTCGATTCCCACACGGGACAACTGTGACTCACAGGTATTCGCATCTAGGTGTTTGTCCATGTGAATTTATTTCTGTAAAACGTCCTTACAACTCTCGTTTTTTTTAAAAGGAAAAAAAAATAGCAGGTGCCGATCAGGAGGCGGTGTTTTTAATTAAATGTTACAAAGTATGACTCGTTTCAAAATCTACATAAAAATCCGCGCCAGAGACCAATCTGGCGCGCATACATAATGTAAGGGTAATAAAATGTTTCATATAGGTATCAGTTTATGTGTCAAACAAGCTGGTTTAGTTTTCACTGTGGTAAAGCAGGTCCGGTGAAGTACCACGACCCCACGGAACACCTGCTTGAAGTCGAAGTGTTATCCTTCTGCGTTTCGTCTGGTGGAAGGGGTAACCGAGCCCACTTTATTAATGAGGAGCAACGCATCTGCAACCCTACGGGTGTTGCAAATGTAATTGGGCAGCGGTTATCACTAATTATCAGGTGGACCGCCAGCTCGCTTGCCACCTTTTCACATAAAAAGAAAACATCAAGAGCGACTCGGACTCACGCACGAAGGGTTTCATACAATTTTATCTATAAAAACGGCAAAAAAATCATGTCTTTTGTATGGCAGCCCCACTTAAATATTTTTTATTCTGTATTTGTTGTCTGTCTGTGCATGTTGATAGAGCGGCAACAGAAATACATCATTTGTGAGAAATACATCAATTTTTTTACGGTTTATGAGATACATGGTGACAGACGGATAGACAGACAGGCAGCGTAGTCTTAATAATAGGGTGTCCGTTCTACCAATTGGGTACGGAATCTTAAAGAAACTTCGATGGGCATGGAAAGCACTTGCGACATACGTAGATTCCGAGGGAGAAAAAAGCTGTGCACATTAATTTTTATGTCGCGTCTCCGGAGCTCGCTCCGTATTCATCTGTGGGATGTTATCAAATATTAAGAGAGCGTTTGATTTATTCCGGCGGACGGGCGTGCGCACTTGGTCAGTTTTATTGCATTTTTTTCGTGCGAAAACTTGGGGTGCGTGAGCCGCGTGTGGCGGCTGATTTATTGGCCATCAGTTGTTACGTGTGACTGTTGAGGTTATAAATGGAGAAAAAAATCAAAATTCCTTCGATACGAGGCACACGAGAATGGCACAGCTCGTGTATGAGTGGGTTTCGAGACAGGAGAGAGCACAGATGAAAAGAAACGCGTGTAAAAATGAAACATTCACTCTGGTTTTAGCGGTAAAGGTATTTCACGTTACTGTACTACATAGTTGAATGAAATTAAGGGAGGCTTCTGTTTAGCAGTGGACTTAAACAGGCCGATGGTGATAATGATAGAGGTGATGATGTTGATGATAATGATCATCAAAAAATGACTCCATGTAAAGTTTAACAAAAATCTCTGGTCTATTTTCAGTGAGAGTGAGATTTTAATTCGTATTTTAGCACCACTTTTCCGCAGTGATGATATTTAACGGGCGGAGAGTTTGGTTACGTATATCATATAAGTAATATTCACTCCAGACACAACAAAACACAGGAATAACATCGACGAATTTGTCAGTCCGTTAGGTAAATCTTATATTTTGTTTGGATACCTATCGTTTAAACAGCGATCGAGCGAAATTTCACAATCTTCCGAACTGACTTATTCATTCGCGCGCATCCATCGATCATAAACTCCGGAGCGAGGCCGGACGCATCTAATGTCATGTTCACACGATAAATCAAACTGACCCCTCGTACATCGCTTATTGGAAGAGATATTGTTCGCGTGAGATCCGCAACGCGTATTGCGGATTGTTAAAATCTTAAACAGTTGCTGAGATACAAAAGGTTTACGCGACTCTGTTGGAGACATCTCCATACCTATGGGTACATACCTATGGCCGGTGGGACTGAAATTAAGTATATATAAGTTAAGGATAATAATAGTATCATTGAATTTTACCACGATTCAAACGTCAAATATTGCAGTTATCGCAATATATTATGAGCCTCTTTACAAGTAACAGGTTTTGTTAAGGTTGAAACTCAAGAATGCTGATAGACTTTCGACTGGATTAAACCTTAAAAACCAGTGCTACCCCAAAATCGGGAATTGCAATTAAACGGTTGAATAAAAGTTGCAAGAACATTATATGATGATTGGCACTGTTGTGAACAGAACAATTACATTTTGCAACCGAGTTCAAAAGAGGTGGAGGCTCTCAATTCGGTTGTAGGTTTTTCGTATGTTAATTACCTTAAATAATGGAGTTCATTTATTAAACGATTTTAAAAAATATATTTGCATTGGATTTGGCTTAGCTCCCATGTGGTCCCATATTAATTTCATTGGTACTGCACTTTGGAATCCGGATATAAATCAGGGAACTCCTCAAAACCTAACAAAAACAAAAATTGTACAGTTAGTGACATTTTTGAAGTTGGTTTTGTTTCTCGTTAGCAATAAATCGAACTAAATATATGTCCTCCTCTTTTAAAGTCCGTTGACAATGGTTCTTTAAGCTAAATAATATACCCAAATATTTGCAGGTCGTATGGAGGCAACCTAAGCGGATGTGCTAGATTCACTTGAATGGAGCTAAGGAATTCCCAAGCATATATATATAGAATAAAAACTCAGTCATAAGCCCCAAATTAATTAACTTCTATCATAATTATATGCTAGTTCTTCGCGCACCCATAAAATAATACTTAGCATGGAGTAATCGATTGGAGGGCGAGATTAAAAATGTGCTATGGATAAGACGGCTGCGATAATTTCGAGTTACTCACCCTGCCGTCCAGGCTGCCCTTGGCACCGTTGAGCCTGATGTAGAACTGCGTGGGCTTGTCCACCTGCGCGGAGTCCGGGAACTGGGCGACCTCCAGCAGGTGGGCGTCTCCGACCGCCGGCGATATGTAGACCTTGAACGGCGAGTCGGGGATGTGCTGCTCGTTGAACTTGAGACCGATGCGGTATTCGCCTGGGGAGTTTATGAAGTCAGGTATAGTTCCACAGTTAGGGGGTAGTTCTACTTTACACATGAGTCTGGCTGTTCAGTGAAGGCCTCTTTGCCACGGCACAGTAACACCCCCAACATTTGTCATATTAATGTTCATGTTAAGGCTCCTTTCGATCTTTTTCTATTCGACCTCGCTCGCTGAACACTTAATAAATATTTAACAATATCATTAGTGCTAATTAAAATAGTTATTATATTGTCTTCGAAAAGATTTCATCAGCTTTTGCTGTACATACATATTCTATACAATTTTCTCACAATACCACATTATGAAAAGTATTAAACCTCTTAACCTTAATATATAATAACTAAAATTATTGAAGAATGTCTACAATCGTTACATAGAATATTTTTAATATTTTCTTTAAATCTTATCGGAGCTGTTTGAGACAGGATTCCGTTTTACGAATAAGGAAATTGTTAAACTAATTAGATCTTGTTAAGGTCCACAAAAGTATTAAAACTAAGGCAAAACCTAAAAATATAGTTTTCTTTGAAATAGTGTTGTGCTTATTCATCATATTTAATTGAATGAAAACTACCAACTCGATATTTAGATTTTACTTTGAGAATAGGATTTAAATGAGATGGTTCAAAAGACTCTAAATATAAAGTAATAATAATAATAAACCATAAATTATCGAATATAATTGAAATCTTATATATTTTTTTAGGAATATAAAAAGTAGCCAAACTCCATTATGATATTGTTTTAAAGATATATTTCATCTTTATTTAATCAGAAATGGTGTCACACTTGATAACTAATAAGCTATAGGATTTGTAAAATCTAAATAGAATTTCTGAGTCCATTATTTTGGAACTTGTAAATGATTGTTATTGACGACCCGATTGGCGTGGAGAGTACTGCCTCTTGCGCCAGAGGGTGTGGGTTCGATCCCCACTACTGGAAAAATATTGTGTGATGAATATCGTGATTTTCCAGTGTCTGGGTGTTTTATATGTATAATATGTATTTATTTACAAAAGAAAAGTATGTTTAAGTATATTTATCAGTTTTCTAGTACCCACAGTACAAGCGTTGCGTAGTTTGGAACTAGAGAACGTTAAAAGTAAAAAATAAAAACCTGTGTCCGAAATGTTATTAACTGCGATATAGAAAGAAAAATAACAGCCGAGTTTTATGCTGTGTTCTGTGGACAGTAGTTAGAAGTCGTATGGCTGACTGGTCAAAATATGCCAAGCTTTTTTTCATTTTAAACAGATCAGTTATTAGAGTGGCATGAAATGATAAGAGTATGTACGCAATACCATTATACAAACTCGTCTAATACCCTAAACGAATTTTGAAAGTAAACGCAGAGAAACGCAAAACTGCGTCACTGTTAACTGACGTTTTCGTTTTCATTCCTTCGTTAGTTATGGGTTCGGAAAAATGTTCAGAAAATTCCACGAGTTAGCTAAAATCTGGATAGGTACTTTGTAAGCTCTAGTCCTGGACCTGGAAAATCGGCTATGAACTACCGAAGCTGGTTATTAGAATCTCAACTAAATCGTCGCCTTCAGTTTGGATGCCGTTGGAATCATGTAACTGGTGCAATACGTGATGTTTCCCATGAACTCGTTTTTTATGTGAAAGTTGTGAAGCGAGCCAGGCTTCACCTGGCGTTAAGTGTTAACCGCCGCCCTTAGACATCTAAACACTTGGGGGTTTGCAAATGCGTTGACAACCTTTAACCACAAGTCGATCAGCGAAAGTATAATTTGAAGTATTACTTCACGCCGGTCTTATGTGAGGCCGTGGTATCCCAAACGAGCCCATATAAGCCGTTGCGTGTCCCCACTACAGCCCAACTCAAACATTTCGACGAAGTCGATGTTTTGATCTGATCACCATAGTCGAATCAGCTAATTCTTCATAGTCGAAACATCGTCATAGCCGAATCAGCTAATTGGTGCACATAAAGTACGGGACTAATCGGACGATCCGGCGTCAACGTGGCCCCATCCCTCGCGGGCTCGCGACAAACGACGATAAATCCGCCAGCCTGCACTAAAAACCCGTCGAAAACTCCCCGAAAAAACCCAATTTGAATTGCACGAAAAAATCCCGGCCACGAGATTGAGAACGGCACGTCACTCAATCCGAATGAAGAACTAACTAAGCCAGCGATATTTCTTCCCGTGGCACGTCGCGGGAAATTTGAATTTCTACATACGCTTTTTTCCAAATGATCCGCCGCGGACCCTACGCGGTGGGCGCATTGTTGTTTCGGACGTATTTACATTCTTATTATGCCGAGTGGATCCGCTTTTTTGCGGACGAAGCGGCGGGAAAAAAGATGTTTCGGGTTTTTGCGGAGCGTACGGAACTAGTCTTGGGCCGGTGCAACTGCTTCTAGTTAACCTTTAAGGTAATCGTTTGATTAACTTAGCTTAGTGTAAATCAAATATTTACAATACTAATATTTTAAGATACTATTTGCGCTAGCCGATGAATTAAGTAAACTTTAACCTTTGCTTGACCTTGTTTTAAAGGAGATACGACGACCGCTCCTATCTCGTAACTTAGTAATAAAATTTAATAATCAAGTTCTGTTAGTCTTAGCAAAGAATATATATAATTTTTTTACGGATACTAATTAAAGGTGATTTCTGAACAAAGCTGGTCAAATATCCGCACGAAACATCTTTGATTTTTTTTTCATTATTTCTGAAGGTGTATGGGATATGTGAAAACCCCTTATCATTTTTTTTTCAACATTCTTAAACTAAATTTCTGACACATTTTAGTTATTTCAGAAACTTCCATAATTACATCTATTATTCAAGATTCAAAGTCAGATTTATACTTTTAAACGATCTGGTCCTCGATGATTTATATTTTTTTTTATCCTTTGAAAACTTTGCTCCTACTTTAGGACACTAAAGACAATAGCTTCCACAATAGCTTAAAGAACTGAGCCACCGGGCCATCGACAACATTTGTCAAATGCCAGTAATATTATTCGCGATTCCAAAATAAGACCACGGCCTAGTGTTTGTACCTAATGTCTGGGCTTTTTACGACAATAAGAACTGACAGTAAAGTAACAATCGCAAATCAACAACTTTTGACAAATCATCTAATCGATAGTTAACCTCTAACAGTTTGAAGTAACAGTCGCGCTTCAACAACTTTTGACAAAACAATATGGCAAGTCGGGGGCCATCTAATCGAAAGTTAACCATCGGTGCCACTCGCCCAGTCAAATAATGATGTTGCCCCCATTCAAATGCGTTGGTGTTGACTTGCTACCGGAGTTCGATGCCCGGGGCGGCCTCTTCCTGTTTCTTGTTAAGCCTTTTTAAGTCGGAAAGAAGCCGCCTTGCGCTTTTTATCGGGCCCGTCTGCAGGTGCGCACGTGGAGTTGGTAACGACCACGGATCACTGTCACTCTCGCTGGAGGCGGCCTCAGCGGCAACCGGCTGTTGGCGGATGGTGGCAGATACAGTACAGTTAATCTATTAGCATGGTTACGTCAATCACAAGATGGACTGCACGGGTGATATATGATAATGGTCGGTACAACTGCTCGCCGCTGTATTCGATCGCAACACGGCGACATAAAAATATTTGAATGACACTAAATGGCACCAATCTTTGCCAAACCATGCAATAAAAGAGCGAATAAGACGTCGAGATCCAGGAGTCGAGACCGCTTATCTTAGTGACTAGTGTCCCAGGCTTAATACTCGGAAACCGTAAGTTCGATAAAATTCGTTTTTCGGGCGGCGGCGATAAATTTTTCGACAATTTCTGTACACATTTTAAGTTTCACCTTAATTAAAGAGACGAGCAAAAAAAAAAACACCATGTTACACAAATGATTCCTCTTAGATAAATTATGTTATAGAAAAGTACACCCTTATACGCTTTCAATAAAGTTAAAAAGGAACCTGTTTATTTTAGGTACATGAAAAATGTCTTTCGAAATGCATATTTACAATCAAATTTAAATGTTTTTGCTTTCACTCCATGGACTATTAAAACTTCATCGAACGCAGAAGTCGTGGGCTATCCAGAATCCACGACTTTGGTACGGCCCCACGCCGTGATAGCCGTCGCCCATTAACATTTGCAATACCCGTAAGTATGCAGATGCGTTTCCACCTATTAATAAAGTGGGCCCCGGCTACCTTACTCATCAGATGAAAGGCAGAAGTATAACACTTCCACTTCACGCTGGTCTTCTGTGAGGTCGTGGTACTTACCCGGATGGACCTAGCCATTCGTGCAACAGAGACCGTTTAACACCGGTTAACATAGTTATGGTTATCGGTTTCTTAAAGGTAGAGAGAAGCGGAAGCGCAAAACAGACAAAGACAGATACAGATTAAAGCTAAATCGATGATATTATTCAATCATTTATATGGATGAAATTTAAATGTACATGATCTAAATAGTAATGTTAGTAAAAAAAAAACGCTCACTTCAAATTAAGAATCCTATCAAGAAGTTTTTCTCGATCCAAATTCGCATCAAAGGTATGAATTCTCGCGGCCAGTTATAATATCCGTCGTAGGTGAGCGGGAGTGTATCATAAAGCATATCACAAATAACTGTACAGTCCGCGGAGGGATACCTGTCGCCCGATTGCGCATAACCTCTGCCAAAACTTAAGTCATTATTCGCCGGAATAACTTGGAAATCTCTAATCGGGATACACTTATGAGGTATCCGGCGGGCAAAAAGGCGCCGCTTCTTTGTCGGATGCCCGGCCGGTTTTTTGCCGGGCGGACAACAATGGACGCCGGGACAAATTCAGTCCCGGGATCGCATTCCGGGGCGCTGGTGTTCAGGAGTCATTTTAATTGACCGCCCGTTGGATATAATCGTCCGGGGGAAAAAAGCGCCGATGCCCCACGAAAGGGGGCAGCGCGCTATGGAGGAATGCCGCGGGCGGACGGGTTTTTCGGCGAACGCTGCTCGCCCCGATTTTCGATCGGTTATTGTTCGG